TGCACGAATGTTTTACATTACCAAAATTAACATCTCAATATGTCCTCTCCATGTAAATGTAAATAAAATTTACTAGAAAGATTCACACCACAGGGCTTACCTTCTTCTGCTTAAGGAAAAAGGATCTGCACAAGGGAGGGAGTACAGAGATTTTCCTATTTCATTCCATATACAGTACTTCTATACTGTTTAACTCTTTCTCAGTGAGAACATACTCATGTGCTTTTTTAATGAAATGAGTCCATCTTAATAAGTTTTTAAAGTTCATGTTTTAACTCATCATAGTTTTGGTCTTAGTTAAACACATATAATTTCAACCAATACCCTAACAGATACTTCCTAAATATGTTCTTTTTCTCTAACCTATTCCAACCACCCTGGATATGTTAAGCCCTTAAGGAAGCCTACGAAGAGCATTTTCCAACCTCTAGCAATCAACTATGATTTGGTTATAGGCAGGACATTTTAAAAGACAAAAAACAGAAAATAACTGGAGAAGGTCAGGTTCTGATTTAAATAGCCTTTCCGCAGACTCATCTTTTCCTAAGTCACTCTTTAAGGAACCAAAATACAAAAATTCCTCTATAAATGAAATTTCCACGCACAAATTCTCACAGTCAGAAACAAAGCTGTGTTTTAGAGCAAAAGCTCTGAACTCTGTTACAATCAAAAGAGTGGTGACTAGCAGCAAAGTTATTTATTTTAGTTGATTTTCTCTATTAAGCTTGTGCTTAATTTTGAGTTTTAACAGTATACAGTCTATTATGTAATGGATCAAAAAACAGTGAGGGTTTTGCAATTGGAATAAAAGTAAAGATTATCTTAAAATTGAAAATGGTAAGACTTAACCAAAAAAGCTTTTGACAATAAAAAATTAATAAAAAAGGATTTGTTGACATTTCTAAAAGGAAAGAATGAAAATGCAACATGTGAAAAATGCAGTATCTATGAAATCATCAATTAGCAAGCAAAGATAAAAAGTGATGGATTAAACGGAAAAACTTTAAAGTACACAGCTAGAGAATCAGCATCAACATCAAATATCTATTAGCTTCATATAATTCAGAATAGGATGAACCAGCTGTTGCACCAGAGATAAATATAGATAAAAATCTTTTCAATCTGTATAATCTACAAAAGGGTGATGGGTTGCTAAGTGTAGATGCTGTGGTTACAAAGAAGTTGTCCTTCTAACACTTATGATGATTGTCAAGAATAGAGATTACCTGCCTCAACATTTCTCAATGTAGTCAAAACTGGTCTATGTTTGAACATGATGCCTGACAGAATATAAATTAGAAATAAGGATAATAGTATGCCTGATTTTAAATTGTGTAAGGACAAACTCATTTTCCTATCTGGGAGAATTATGAGGTGTCTTGAAAGAGTTCATGAAAAGGTTCACATTATTTTTAATTCTATTTTTCCACAAATCTTTTGATGTACCCTTATATATTCAAGGAAGGCAGTAATAAATCTCTCAGCGTAATCACTTTGGACAAAAAATATATAACCATTTAGAATCAAACTTGTCCTTAAGTAGGAAAGCATCTATATTA